ATTCAAAATGAGATAAGAATCTGAGCTCATAGATCTGGAAATAAATACCCATTATTGTTAGGTGTCAACGCTATCCAGATTATAAACTCCCTTTTGTCTTTTATTTGAGATTAGATGGTCAAGATATAAAAACCTTTCAACTTTCTCTATGAGATTTACTCCTACTCTTTGAATTTATTTTATATATTTATTTATTCTCTCAGTTTACTCCGTACAATATGGCTTTATCTCTTGGCTTTATCAAATTTCCTTCCGTCATCAATATTCTAGGTTTACTTTTTATAATTATCAGTGTATTTTGTACTGTATGGTACAGTTATAATCGAAATTCTTTCGTTTCTCTATTCTGCCAATTGAGTTGAGTATTGAATCTTGGATATTCAATAACTCCCTCATAACAGGATCTGCGTCGAAGGTAAATCGTTCTCGAGAGTCGACTAATTCAAATATGTATCGGCTCCACAATAACTTTAATAAATAACCAATTAGTAATTAGACCAGAGTATAACAAGCATAAACAGAATTTTTTTTTTTTTTTTGTCAAAGGCGTTGAAATCCCGAAAAATCTCAAGAAATCTTAAATTAAGGGTGTATAATGCTATAATAAAGCCAGTTCTGATATATGATTGCGAAATCAGGATACTAGCTAATACTCTAGAATTAAGCATTGAAAGATTTGAGAGAAAAATCCTCCGCATGGTAACCGGAGCGATCTGGGATCAGGGTACTAACACATTGACGAAGAAGATCAATAAAGAACTACTTAAAGAAACAATAAATGCTTTAATAGTATGCAAGAGACCACATGGAAGACCAAAATTATCCATCTTTGCCTGTTTCGGGCTATTTCTTTCCAGTTATCTATACGCAGCTAAAATTAAAAATAATTGTCTATATATTATATATATAGGGTGTACCGTAAGTAGAGACAAATTATTTTAAAGGCTGATAGTAAACATCCATATCTACAAAAAAGTTTATATAAACAATTGCCCAACTCCTAGCAGAAAAGTAGGATATTCAAGAGTTGTGTTTTTTTAAAGCGATTCATGTTTTTTGTTGAATAGCAAGCGATAACTTAAAAAAATATTTGATTTAAGTAATTAAACATTGCTCCATAGTAAAATAGACAAACTTTACTTTAAATGAAAGCAGAGTTTGTCATTGTTAAAACTATTAAAAAAGGACTATTAAGTGGCAAAAACAGCTAAGCTCTGTTTAAATAGTCTTAAATTGTTTGTGATTTTTTTTTATCACCATTCAACTGTACTACAGTTACCTCACTTTTAGAAAACTTTCTCGTTTAATAAACTTTATATATATATAGCTTAAATAATTTAAACTTAAACGCATCAAAAACTCAGGCAATTCTTATAAGTTCCAACTCCCTCCTTAGATCCATCTCCACCCTTCCTTCCTTGATTATTAATGATCAACCAATCTCGTTCTCCCCCTCTGTAAAAAACTTAGGAATTACCATTGATCAAAACCTATCATGGAAACCCCATATTGCTCATATCTCCAGAAGGTCAATTGGTACACTTAAACTATTTCATCGTTCTCGTCAGCATCTGCCACAACCTATCCGCAAGCTCCTCGTTTCCTCATTGATTTTCCCCTACTTTGACTATGGCTGTGTGGTATACGGTGGCCTCTCGTTGGAGCTTGAGGACAGACTGAAGAGAATCATGAACAGTTCTTTAAGATTTGTCTTCGGCACTTCGAGATGGTCTCATGTGTCCCACCTATATTCCGAGTCAAAGTGGCTCTTCCCATCTTCCCGCCGCCTATACTTCCTTGGAAATTTCTTATGTCAAACGATCAACTCCCAGCACCCTTCCTATATCTACTGTCTCCTCAAGCCTAAACCTTTAGTCCACTCAATAAAAACGAGATCCTGTGATTCTGAGCTCTATATTCCATCACACAAGACAAAAACCTATGAACGTTCCTTCTTAGCCCGCTCCGTCACCTATTGGAATTCTTTGCCATGTAACATCCGTCATGCCTCTTCACTGTCAACCTTCAAATACCTCCTTTTCCAATATCTCCTCACATCCCAAACAGACGATTCGCAACCATAAATTTCATTTTATGAACTGAATTTGTGAGAAGTAAATAGTGGTGCCTACAGTTTAAGTTTTAACATAAAACAGCAATGATTTTTTACTATTACTTTTACTATTTATTTGTATTTCTCTTCACCTCAGGTTGTGTTTTTTCTTTCATGTATATATAAGTTTATATTTTATACTCTTTGTCTCACTGTGTAGCAATATGAGTAAGTACGTATATATAGTTCCTTTTTTACCTTTATACCACAATTATTCCTGAGATTTTATTTTATCTTAGTGTTTGCTTATTATTTTACGAATCACTGTAAATATTATTACATTTTGTATTAAATTATGTTTCTATTAGATAGCTATTATTTATAAATTGTGCAGTTATGTATATATAGATATGTAATTTCTTTTCTGTCTTTTTTTTTTTCTTTTTTTTTTTATCGTAATAATAAGCAAATTTGGAGAAGATTGTATGTTCATTTATGTATGTATGTATGTGTATGTATGTATATATATGTTTATGTGTGTGTATGTATATATATGTGCGTGTGTTTATATATGTGTATATTTTATTTTTATTTTTTTGTTTATTTCTTAGTGGTTACATACTACTTTTTAAATAATGTATATTACGTTGATTAATATAAAAGTTAGTTTTTGGCCAGATTGGTATTTTATTTTGTATTAATTCATCTTTGTTATTCTAAGGGGGCTTAGTCCCAGAATAAAGTTCTATTTTCTATTCTATTCTATTCTATACATATTGGATGTCCCGTAAGTAGTGGAAAATTTTTATAGAAGTGGATAGAAGGTCTAAAGAGCTTAAAAAAAGTTTAAATAAATAATATACTGATTTTCAGCAGGAAAGTAGGAAATTAAAGTTTTGTAGTTTTTTAAGTAAGTCACGTTTCTTGTTGAATAGGAAGCGATAAGTAAAAAACTATTGAATTTAAGGAGTTAAAAACTGCTTTAATGTAAACTAGACAAAATTTACTCTGAACAAAAATAGAGTTTATCATTGTTAAAACTATTTAAACAGGAATTTAGCTGCTGTTTTTAAAACAATAATAAATTATTCGCGATTATTTTTTATCATCCTCGAACCATACTGGAGAAACCCCATTTTTACGAAAACATTCTGGTTTAATAAGCTTCAAATTCATATAAAATTAAGTTGAGGTTTTTTGGGAAAAAAATTTTAGATTTATCTCAAATTGTATAAAAAAATTATGTGATTTTATATCCTGTTACCTAAAAGTACACGTGTTTTCAGCAAAAATGGCTACAATAAATTGTTGCAAACCTTTAATTTCTTGTTTTGGGATGTATTATAATAAGCATAATTGCCTAAACACACATTTTATTTACAAAGAAAAAATATTAAAAGTATTAATTTTTCAAATATTTTTTCGGTTAATTGGTTATAAACTGTTTTTTTTTTTCATCCACAGCTCTATCACAGGAATTGATCTGTATATATAAGTGACAAAATGAATGTTTCTAGTTCTAAAATTTTCCGGTTAAAATATAAAAACCTGCTGATGGCTTCAATTACTTTGATGAAAATATTAATATTAGTATCAGGAAGATTTAGTTTGTCTTTTATAAATACAGATAAATTCTGATGATAAAGATCTGGCCGAAAAACACAGTTTATAACAAATTCACCGGAAAAAATATTTGTAAATTTCAGTATTTTTCAAATTAATTTGTTATTTATAAATAAAATGTGTGTTGTGGCAATTATGTTTATTATAATACATCCCTTTTTATCAAAGTATTAGCATCCTTTTAACACTTCGTGAATATAGCCCTCATCTTATTTTAACCTACGACTTTTTTATCTGCGATAATTCTCAGAATTGGGGCGTTTTCTCATAAAATTATTTAATTTAAAAACTCATGATTTCCTTCTCCCTTTAATGAAAGATAATTTTATTACGAAATCGAGAAAAAAGGTGACCTATAAAAATATTGTGCCATTTAGCCTAAATAACCGCCAAACGGCCTAATATTTTTGAAAGGCCAACTTTTTTTGTGATAAAATTATCTTACGATTCAAGTGAAAAGTAAATGGGCGTACATGAGCTTTTAGTGCCCCATTGAATATACAAAGTTTACCTAATTAAATTAATTAGAAAACGCCCATTTTCGGAATTTTTGTAAATAAAAAATTTGTAGGTCAGGACACGAAGTTTTAGACGGCTGTTAATAACTTGATTAAAAAAAAAAGAAAAAAAAAGGAGTCTGTTCCGCGGACTATATCTTAAATTAATTGTAATTTACTAATAATTATTTCTGTTTAAATATTCAGTATTGTTCAATCATTAGTTGTTTTCTAATCTAAGATCAAGATTTAAGTGTTCTGATATTGGAATGTCTGAAAAGGAAGACGTGCAAGTAGGTATATATTACAACACCTGCCAGGTATGTTTCCCAACAGAATGTTGTTTGTGAAATACTTCCAGAGAAGGCTTACAGAAATAATTTAAAAATAACAACATAACGATAAGGTATATAAAATTTAATAATGAATTAATAATAATAACAGTTTTATTTTATGTATGTAAATTTAAAATATTTAATTTATGAATTGGATTTTAAAGATTTAATTTAATTCAATTTATTATTTGGAAATTCATAACATTATTAAAAAAAAAAGTGTGTATAACTAGCATTCATGTAAAATTATTTAAATCAAATGTAAACAAACAAATTGATAAGTATTTAAATAAAGACAATGAGAGAACTGTTTAGTATTGAGGACAATGGTTTACTCCCAAATGACCAGAGTAAGTCATTAACACCTCCTTATATAGTTAGTTAATCATTCAAAGCAGATATATAAATGAGTAGCTCACTTCATTTCTCTTTCATACTTTCTTTGGTCATCCAGGAGTGAGTGAGTGAGTGGTGGGGACTTTAGTGGGGCAGGTTTACTATCAGAGTCAGTCACAGGTTCTTGAGGCAATAGGCACCTTCATTGAGCAACTTGAGGTGCACCATTAACCACAACTCCGTTGTTATATGAGTAAGTATCCAAGGTTTACTACTATATACATATAAAATATATAAATATATATATAATTTTTTTTTTATGTATTCAATTATTAATATTTCATTATTTTATTTTTTAATATTTATTTAAAATAGAAAAATGGCAAGGATGATGCATATCTTTAAAATAACAGAAATGTTTATCATATTTTGCATATTTCAAATATCCAATACGCTACCTGTGGGTGACACATCCATGAGCATTAGACAGAAAAGGGATGTAAATATATTACAGGATAAACTGATTCAAACTCTGAATGTAAGTTTAATTTGTTGAAAGTAAATACAAATTTTAAATTAACTTATACTTAATTTATTATTTTTTTTATTATCTAGCCAAAACCAATTTTGGATACTATAACAGAAGCTGAGAAGTGTTGTAATTTACAACAGCATCCCATTGGTAAAAAACTTCTTTCAGTTTTTGAACAGGTGACAAGTGTAGCTGCAAATGCAATCCAGGTATAGTCCGAATTGATTAATGTTTTAAACTAATATTTTATACATACATAAGTATATAAATATATAAAGAGTGAGTGAGAAGATAAATGTATTGTTTATTAAATTATAATGTGATAAATGCCAAAGGGGTTAATTAAGCAACATATCTATTTTAATCAAGAGTCAAAACTATTATCAAATATTTTAAAAAGTCCAATTTTAGCATTCCTGTGAAACTTTTGAGAAAAAAAGTTCATGAAATAAAAGTTCTAAGGAACATTATTTAAATAAAGTTCTAGGTTTTTGTTAAAAGTTTAACTTTTATATATTTGTTCTTAAAAAGGGTTACATTAGACGAAAATAAAAAGTATTTGGGCTTAGATTAGTGTTATATTTGATCTTAAATGAATTACTAGATTCTAATGTGTAGTTTGTTTGGATCACAAAGAATAAAAGCCATTGTTAGATCGATTTTTCAGTGAAATCAAAGGAACTTTTAAGTATTTTTTTTTTAAATTAATAATTCTATAATAATACCTTTAATTGAAAAGTTGCAAGGGAAAAAGTTCTAGTTCCAAAATGACAGAAAACAAACTGAAAATAAAGATTCCAATTACACTGATACTCATTAAAAATAATTTTTTAAATTTCTTTTTCAAGCCCTGATTTCAATCCATTCGAATGTAAATAAATAAAAATAGTTGCTATTATATATACAAGTTTTTGAAAACATAAATTTTATTTTATTTTTTTTGTTTTTTAATACAAGACATTTCTTCCAGAGATAATTTTAAAATTATTAGATTTATATACCTCTCGCCAATAAATGAAATCCCAAAAACTTGTAATTGGGAGATCTATAGACCAAGATTTGGGCATACCAATATGACAAACCAGTATTTTATTTAAATTTATTTTCATGAGATGACGAATCCTCAAGACATGGTTTATTACTCATAAACCAAATCTAGACTACAAATCCTGTTTATCATCCTCATAATTTTAAAATGACAGTCAAGAATATATCAATATCTAAATTTATTTTCATTTTACTTATTACTAATTTATATATTCATATGCCATTCAAGAGCAAAAGTAATGTGATAAAATACAATTAAATAATGAAGAATACACTTTATATTCTATTCATTAATAAATAAATTGTCTGTCAATTATATATTAAATTGAGATGTCAATAATAGTTGAAATAGTAAATATTAGTAATGTTTTCATTAAGTCCATTAAAAAAAATTCTAGTTTTCAAAAACTTAATTGTTATTCATCTTTTTTTTTCTTATTCATGGCATTTCTCTTTTAAATACTACAAAATCATAATATATATATATTACTTGGATAATGGAAACATCTACAGGCGGATATACGTGGGGGGAGTGGAGGGACTTTCGGGCTGAAGCCCCCTAAAATGGTAAAATATAATCATCAATGAAAATAATATTAAAAAAGTATTAAAAAAAAGGGTTCATCTGATTATATTTAATTGGACCTAAAGAATCAATTAAACATCATTTCATATAGGAAATTTCTTTTTTTCTTCCAGAGTAATTATTATAACATACTTATATAAATATATATGTATAAAAAATTTCGGGCTGAAACCCCATCCAAAATCAAATCCTGGATTTGTTAGTGGAAACATCTATGGTTGGAAAATTCATAGGTCAATATTAGACATTCAAAAAAATAATTTATATGTGTCTGTAGGATCCAAGAACAAAATGATGTGATTAATTATAAAATTGATTGGTATAATTTTATATTTACTTATTAATAATTCATATTTTATAAAACCTGTTGTAGGTTCCTGCCCAGAAAGTTAATGCTGTCTCTAAAAGTGTAACAGAATACTTGAACCAAATTGGAGCTAAGTTAGTTGGGTTACAGAAATAAGTTATATGAAAAAAAAAAATCTAGTCAAGTGCTTAGTTTAATGTGTGCTACCTGAGAGTAATATCATAATATTTACTGTTTACTTTATTAAGACTAAAAGTAAAATAAATTTAAAATTTATAATTAATTTAATGTAAAAGTTATTATTTTATAACAATAAACGTTCCAACTAATTAAGACTAAGCTAAAGCACTTGGATATTTTAGTACTGATAGATTATTAATTTTAATGTTTTATAAGTACAAAAAAAAATGTACATATGTGAAAAACCACTGCCTTAAAAAAAATTACCATTTTTGTTATATTTATTAATGTTTTTCTACAATTTAATTGTAAATAAATTATTATTATTTTATATTAATGTATCATTTTGATATTATACTCTTCTATTATAAATAATATCATTTAGAAGTACTTGATGTAATACAAAATTGACATTGAGGAAAGATTCATTTTAATAATTATATCATTCATCATAGTAGAATTAGTTTGAGGGGTGTGGTCATGGAAGAAAACACACAGCAAGTGTGAACTTATTTAAATGTGCTGATGTTCCCGCTGAAGATTTAGGCTATTGTTAAAGTGGCAGGTCTAGATTTCCAAATTATTTAGGAATTAGCTATTACCATTAATAATTTATATTTAACAAATAAAAATTCTACAAGAAAGTAATGTTAAGTAAAGTAAAGTAAAGTAATGTAACAAAGGAGTGTGCTGTGGTTTTATTGTGTTCATAAGAAGATTTAGTAGAATCCAGAGATTATAGTATGGGATTGAGTGCATACATCAAAGCAGTAGAAGGAACCTAAGAAAGATTATGTAAAGAAATAATCTTACTTAAAGTCTGCATGCTTTAATTATATTCTGTTACATGATCCAAAGTCAAATTAAATGCAAAAATTGTAGTGAAATTATACACCTAACCATTTATCTATCTAATGTCATTTTTTTGAAATAGATTGATCAATTGTTTCACCTTATAATTTCACCTTATAATTATAAGAGTGGATGATCTTTATAATTGATTTATCATACAGTAAACTTTACAACTTTTTTAATCATCATCTGTGAAGTAGCAAAAATGATACATTCAGTCAGGGGTATATTTGGTATTTTTGAGTTATAAAAATTTTAAAAATTGAAATATTTAATATTGAAAAATAAATAAAATAAATTAATTAAGAGTACCCTATTTATAGAGACTGGATGTTTCCCAGGAATGTCTCGTGGCGTAGGAACAGAGATCGAACCTCTTTCCGAGGAACCCTCCATGAGAAGCTATGAGATTAAGTTATCTTGCAGGACCCATGATTTCAATTTTGTAACTAACATTCTGGGTAATATTTTTTTAGAATTATTTCTTTTGGGGTATCTTCCATCCTTTCCTATCTTCTGTAGTCTTCACTGATATTCACCAAAACCAATAAACTTCTCAAGGAATATTTCACAAATGATACTGAGATGTATTCTTCCAACAAAAATCTAACTCATATGAGACACTGCTGTATATGCTCTGGTAGCTCAAATCAAAACAATCACTTCAGAAGTAAGATATTGAGTCAGTTTTCATGCTTATCATACATACCTCTTATATGCATAATGACGCTTACCAAGCAATTTTCGGTAAATGGTCCAAAGAAAGAGATATTGAAGAGAATTATCCAATTGATATTAATGGGATTGGATGTTACATAAATAATAAACCTGGACTGGAACCTTTCATCAGCATACAACTGAATATTATTTTCAGCAGCAAAAACTAGTTTGAATTGAAGTCTACTGAATGGACTTCAATTTAATGGTGCATAGTGCATAGAATTTCGTCGCGTTTTCACATAGAAAAAATCGAATTATTTTATTATTTTTTTTTAAACCCGTTGGAATACATATTATTGTAATTGTGGAACATCGGTAGTAGTTCAGAATTTTGATTCATAACAAACCAAAATCTTTGGTAGAAAATATAATTTTATAACGAAATCGCACAGCGTTCAAATACATTAAACAAACGATATTAAAAAAGAAACCATCTTCAGTTCAGTGGCTTAATATTAACAGTTTTTTTTGTTTTGTTTTTTGTGAACACGATATTTTGTCAACCTTTTACATATATAGTAATCCATAGGAAAACCAATATTATATTGAGTTGGCTCAAATATGCTCAAAGATTTGTTCCTGTGCTCTGGAGTGCCCAGAAGGGGGTTTCGTTCAAGCTGCGCCATCAAAATTGTTGAAGACGCATATAAGGACGAATGTTTGGGTTTTGAGGGGACAAATAGTTGCTATAAACAGTATTTACGGAGAATGTACAACGGTATTTAATAAATTAGGGAACGTTTTACGAATAGAAAGGCTTTTAAGAGGTTTAAAAATTATTCGAGTGGAAATAAAATAATAATAAGTGGAAAAAAAAAATGAAATAAATAATAAAAAGATATAGACAAAAACTATTTTTAAGTTATTTGTTGACGTTTCCGACTGCTCCAACACTTACTAGACAAACGTTTTAAACTTTCAATTAATTACAAAAGACTCATCTACTTAACCATAATAAGACCTATATGGACATACGGAGTTGAGCTTTGGGGTTCTATCGAATTCCTATCGTATCCAATCCTTACAATCCAAAATCCTTAATGCCACATATTTTGTCACAAATAAAACCATTCATAAAGACCTTAATGTTCCATATGTCGCTGATTTAGCCCGAGCCACCTATCCTTTCATGAACTCCAGTCCCATCCAAATCCACTTGTTTCCAGCCTTGCTTCTTCCTCAATTCCTGATAATTCCCCTAGGTGTCTGAAGGGAAGATGGCCACGTGATATTCTCACCTAGAATTAAATAGGGAGTGCTACCACTGGGCAGTATTTCTTTAAGTCTGTTCATGTCATTATTTCCAATGTGTGCATTTTTTGTAGTTGTATTGTTTATACAGTTGTAAATTTCATTAAATAAATAAAAATAAAAAAAAGTTATTTGTCGGATGATTTAAAAAAAATTCAGTCTCAATCTTTCAATTCATAAATAAACAAATACACTTTGTAAAATAATGTAAAAAAATACCAAAATTGGGTTAATGATAGAGGTATTGCTGACGGTATAACTAATTATTGAAGTTGATTTGGTGGGGTTTTGCGATATATAAAAGAAAACAAACAAAATTAAACTTTTACTGCAATAAGTAAAGTTAACTTATTTCTGAGGTCTGTGGCCCTGACCATTTTTTTTTCGATAACTTTAGGTTAATTAAAAAAAAAGAAATGTTTTTCGCGATTTTAAAACATTGTACAATTTAGGCCTTCCTCTTGTTGCTGCTGAAAATCCGATTAATTAAAAGTTCGAAATTTCGGCCTCTTTGACTAATCGATTTTAATATCAGTTGTTTTTTTTATCAACCGCCTCTATTGAGGTTATAAACATTGTTGCTATTCCGGCGTATGAATCCTCGAGAGAGACAAATTAATATTTTCCCATACTTTGATTATATTTCATTAAACTTTAAAATCTGAAGAAAGCATGGATACTACTGACCTTGGAGATCACTCCGTAAGCTTTTATAATGAAATGGTCATCCAAATAATTTATTTCGAATTTAATTTTTAAAAACAAGAATTAGCAGTAGTTTTTACTTTTCTTTTGTTCCTTATCTCATTCCTTAGAATGTTACTTTTCCTTTATCCTAGAACTTCTTAATAGATTTCTTCTAGTTATCTATATTTTCAGACATTTCTGGGGATTATCTAGGTTAAAATAATGGAATTATTAATTATGCAAGGTTATATTTTACAATAATCACTATACGAATTTCTCATTTTTTTATCTTATTAGTTTGATCATTATATTATATTAAGTTCAACCATATGTTATCTGTTGTTTTTGTCATAGGCTTGTCAGTTTTCAGATTTCTTATTTTGTCCTCTTACTTCACTTTATGCCTAAAGAAAATCGCTTATTAAGCTTTTTAGATTCTCGGACATTAAAAAAATTATTAGAATTCTCGTTAACTTATTACATGATGACAATTAATGAAAAGTATAAAAATCTTAAGTTATAGCCGAAGAACCTACAGTGCACTATAAAAAGTAAAATTTTCAAACTTGCTGGATGGGTCAAGATCTCTTAAATCATATTGTAGATAGAATTCTGAAAACGGCTGAATAATGACACCCATGTTTACAGATATAGCCTCATTAGATTATGGCTTTAAACTTCTTCTTGCTTAAAAACTATAAAGGGATCTAAACAGGTCCTTTTAAGTTGAAGTCAGGACTTAACCAGTGACTGGCCACCTCCTACTTTTGGTCTTTTTTATTCTATTTTGGAATGGGAAAATTCATCAGATTGGGTCGACTTATATGAAGTACTACTATAATCACGGGTGGATCTACGGGGGGGAGGGGGCTTTCGTGCTGAAGCCCCCCAAAATGGTAAAATATAACCATGTTTTATGGAAAAATATATTAAAAAATTATTTCTTAAAGTAATATTATTCGTGTAATTACTTTTAAAAGGACTTAAGAAATCACTTAAACACCATTTAATATAAATAGTTAGTTTCTTTCTTTTTTTCCAAAGTAATTATCATCATTTTTATGAAAAAAAAAAGCTTTCGGGCTGAAGTCCCCCCCAAAATCAAATCCTGAATCCGCTAGTGACTATAATGAATACCATGAAATAATTTCATTGAAAGCTGATATTCTGATTAACTTTCACTGTCAGTTAGAAGTTTCTGTTCAAAAATTGATTGTCTTCAGTCCGCATTTACCTGTTAACAGCAATCCAGTGGATACATGCTTTGTCAGTTTAACATTACAAGTTTCGTTGATTTAGGATTAACATATTTTTCATTGAATGCTTTTATATTTCTTTGTAAATTAAATAATCATAAACCTAATAAAAAAAAGTGTAAAAAATAGTTAATTTATTTTATTATTTCCTGTATTCCTTCACATGTCCCCATATATTCAAAAATCTCTTTAATATTAAGAATGCCTAGAAAATGATATGTTTACCTATTATGAAGTATAATTTTTTTTTTTATTTTATAAATATTTAATTTCTGCCTGAATATTATTTAAGAGAAAATATATATACTTACTAAATGTAAATATCATTTTCTCTTGAAGTCTTAAATCAATGTATAGTTAATATAAGAAAATATTCTATTTTTATGTAAAAAAATAAATTTCTGTAACTATCTTCCTCTACCATGAACCAATAAATATTATCTGAAAGGCCAATAACCCCTTAAAAGGTCAGGTAATGTGTGGGTAAAATATTTAATGATCCCATTCATCTTATGAACTACAAAAATAAATTTAATCTATATCCATTAATCTGTAGGCTGTGCCACCGTACAATTAATGATGTTCATAACGGAAACATTTTACACGCAGTACTCTTAAAGTTTATAATATCAGAGTTAATGAAATTCTCATTGGTCTCAAGACCATCCAAAATCCCTTAGTGCAATATCTGGTTAAATCTTTTGAAGATGGAGTAAGTGTATCTGAAAAAAAATAGTACACCTAAAGACTTCCTCTTAGGTTTTTTATGGGGTCGATAGCAGCCAGATTTTGCTTTCCTGTTTTTATTTAACTGTCATTAATTTTATGAATGTTATAATGATAAAAATGCTAGGATATTTTTCCTTAAAAAAATGGCATAGATTATTGCATGGACTTTTTTTACTATGATAATTAATAGAGATAAATTTTAAAGAAAAAAAAATTAAAGAATATAAAAATAACTATGAAAGAGAAGAATAACTGAGCGAGTAAAGCATTGTGCTCCTATCATCTGCACACAGGTTTGGGTCTAGCAGTGGTAGATAACTCTGACCTCCAAAAAGTTTCTTGATCAATAATGGCTTATTTTTAACTTCTTAATATGAAAATAACGATAAAACCATTTAATTAGGTGTTTCTACGTTTTCTAAGATAGTTATATAATGAATATTTACATTATAATTTTAGATTAGCTGGAAATTCAGTGCTGGAACGTTGGCTGGATTGTCGTTCAGTGTTCATTAATTTAAGTTTACAGGCACATCTATACAGAAGTGACCATTTTAGAGATTTTAGGTGATCAGTGCTGTTGTAAACTACAGAATTTATTAATTTTAAATGGCAAATCTGTAGTGGTTTGAAAGTTATAGCTTTACTCCTGGGAATGCAATTGGACTATACCAAGCAATGCTGTTTTATGTAGCCGAGATACTCTCATTAAATAAGCAGTGAATCAACTGTTGAGCGAAAACACTCAGGCCTGATGAGAGAAATGTTCTTTTGATTGATCCAAAATCATTCTTCCTCTTACATATGAAGGATATTTAAAAAAGTTTATTAAGAACATGGATCTGGATGGAGAAGATTTGTAGTACTAGTTCTCGAGAGGGAAATTCTTCTGGTTAAATAATGTTTAAGAAATTTTTCTTTGGACCTTTAATTCATGTAGTTTTTAAAGATAATAACTTTGATTGAATATTGAAGGGATAAAAAGAGTTGGGGAAGGGTTCAAAGGTTTTAATGCATGAATTATTAAACTATGAAAATGAAAAAAAAAATGAAATTATTGAATCAATTATTCAAACAAGTGCTCAGAAAATACCATACTGTGGGTCGCAACATTTATTTAATAAAACTTTTCCTCCACTTGCCATTGAATTTTTTTTCAGAACATTGTGTAAAGGTATCTCAAAATTGATATCCACGAGGATAGCCAAAAAAAGTCATTTATTGAAGTAGAATTCCTCATTTATTCCAAAATACATGTCTTGGAAAGAATAGCTAATATAAAATCTTATTGTTATATTAATTTTAATTGACTCAAAATTATTAGTAAAGTTAGGAAACATTTTTTAAAATAATATGTTGGTCAGTTATATCAGCTGTGGATCGAGCATGTGGTTGATCCTCCTGGGGCATACCTAGCTTCATTAAAGTTTATTGTTGGAAAACATTACTATTGAGCTTTATTCTGGCCAAATCATAGTTGGCCTTGAAACTGCTTTTTAAATCATGTGTATTATTCACTCTAAATTTGGATTCTTCAGTCTCATCTTTACATGAATTGAGAATAATGAATTCCTGGATATGTCATTGTTAGTGGACCTAATTTGTGTGGGAAAATATATATGATACACATATTAATAACATTTTATAACATACAGTTTAATAACGAATAGTCATTGTTTTAACGATTTGTAATATGATCAGGAGTGTACTGATTGATGGTTAAAATGTCATGTTGTTGGGTCGTTGATTTATTTAGTTTTAGGAAAAGAGTGATAATACATCACGCCCATAAAAGAGGAAATATGCAGTAGAGTAGGAGAGTTGTATGTAGGTGCAATGTATTTACCTTAGAAATTTTCGAAGAATTTGAAGAGAGAGTTAATTAGAATTAATTAGAACAAAAGTTAATTAGATCATAGAAATTTACTAAAAGTTAATTTTATCAATGGTATTTGACTTCAGAGGGTTTGACATTACATAAATCAGAATATCTTTCAATAGTATTTATAGTAGTGAAAGTGGTTTTATCCTAGCATTTTGTTCCTTGTTAAAAAAAAATACAATCATTTAAATCATATAATCATTTCTTATCCACCCAGTCCTCAGAAAATTGTAAATAGTTACTACTGTTAATATGTATATAAATTATTAGATCGTTCTTCATTATTTTTACTTCATGTTTATTTTCAATTTTTTATTTTTTATTATTCCATAGGGACTTATTATTATTATTATTTCAGCTAGTATTTTGTTATTTAATTATTTATTGGTTTTATTTCAATTTTAGAATGAATCTTCTAGAGATACTATGTCTTCCAAAGGGAAAAATGAAGATTTTGACACAAAAATTGTGAGTGTCTATTAATATTTATTTATCATTTAAAATATCCTGCTATATTTACTTTTTTTTTTAATTTTATAAATAGCATATGTAATAATTCATATTATTATTTGTGTCTCTATTACAAACATAGTAAGTGCAATTAAGATAAAAATTAATTGTATTTTTCTTCAATTTTCAATATTTATGTTTTCCTTCATCAATCATTTAGTTTTAGGTTTTTTTAAAAAAAAATTTTGTGTTATCTTCATTCACTTTTAACTTTTTTTTTTCAATTATTAATCATTTTATGAATTGCAGGAAACTGACCGTGCAAGAAGGTTTGAATATCTGTTGAAGCAAACAGAAATTTTTTCTCATTTTATGACTAATCAGGGGAAAACCAATAGCCCCACAAAACCCAAAGTTGGTCGTCCTAGAAAAGATAAAGTGGTTCCAACGAGTGAAGATGTTGCTGAGTAAATATTAATTAATTTTATCTTAATTATTACATATCAGAACTTCCATTAATTTTGGTTTAATTTTAATAAGAATTGGTTTAATAAGAATAATATTCTATTCATTCTTACAATTTTTGTAGTGTAATGTTTTGATTAAATGTTTGATAAAATTGATATGGGTAACTATATCATAATATACTCTATAATATATCGTGGTACAGATAATATACCGACAGGTTTCTGAATTACTACAAAATGAAAAAAAAAAATCATTGATATTAGATTATTTTTAGCCAAGATACCATACATTGTAATTTGTACACTAGTTTTGGTTTATTCCGAATGAAAATTAATTCCTCCCTCTCATAGGTAATTAAAATAACACATTTACATATTACCATTTGTTCTCTGACTAACATACTGTGTGAATTATTCGAACTGACCAACTAGTTCTTTTGTATTTTGATTTGGATCTGTCTTGTATGGATATTGTTAATTGTTTGATATCATAATATTTTTTGTACTTCTGGCTGTTTCTACAGCATTCTTTGTATTTAGTAATAAACTCAATTTTCAAATGATTGTGTACTAATTGATTTCCTTTTTGGATTCTTTCTCTCTAGCCATCGTCATCGTATGACTGAACAAGAAGAGGATGAAGAATTACTCGCTGAAAATAATGCAGCCCCTAAAACCATTGCTAGATTTGATGCTTCACCATTTTATATCAAAGGTGGAGAGTTGAGGGATTACCAGATTCGTGGTTTGAACTGGATGATATCACTTTATGAGCATGGTATAAACGGTATACTCGCTGATGAAATGGGATTGGGCAAAACTCTTCAAACTATATCACTTCTTGGGTACTGAATAAATTATCAATGCTATTTTTACATAAAAGTAAATATTTCACATTAAAATCTTTATATATATGCATTTTTTTTTTAGTTACATGAAACATTATAGAAACATCCCAGGCCCACATATGGTTATTGTTCCAAAGTCAACTTTAGCCAACTGGATGAATGAATTTAAAAAATGGTGTCCTTCTTTACGTGCTGTATGCTTGATAGGAGATCGAGAAGCCAGAGTAATTATTTATTTTTAAAATTACTATATTTAATTTGTTTAACAGTTAAAATGTAAAAGGTGACAGAAACAATCTATATCAATTTTGTTGAACTGGAACGATCTAAGGCCAAAGGTTTTAAACATTTATAATTTTTTAAGTATAATTTTATATTACTTAAGTACTCCAACATGAAATTTTCTGAAGAATTTTGCACTGTTTGTATTCATTTTTTTAATGAATGTGTTTTTTTGAAATCCAAAGCTCTGCTTCGTATGTACAAATAGACCACAGTACAGTGTATTGTATATCTACAATTTTTCCCTTCAAAATTCAATATTCCCTTCCTTGTGGGAAAAAGCCAGAGTCCGTCCTTTAAATAAAAATTCTAATCCGTCTTCCCCTGAAGATTTCCGGCCAATCTCAATCCTTTCTAACCTTTCCAAACTCTGCAGAGCATTGTGCAATCCCAAGTTTCCAACTTCCTTGAACAGTCCAATCAACTTGACCTTTACCAATCTGGTTTCCGACCAGATTACTCCATACAATCTGCCCTAATCAAAATCATTAATGATATTCAGTCCGCCATTGATGACAAAAAACTAACTGTCCTTATACTCCTTGACTTTTCCAAAGCCTTTGATACCATTAACCATTCCATTCTCTTTTCCAAATTAAAATCATTATCCTTTTCCCATAGTTCTATCCTGTGGTTTCAATCTTTCCTCTTCCAATGCTCACAAGCTGTCGCTATCAGTAATCAACCCTTGTCTTCCTATCTTACTTTGTCCACAGGAGTGGCCCAGGGCTCTAGCATATCTCCTCTCCTTTTTAGTTCTTATATCAATGACATCCATAAATCAATTCTTCACTGCTCCCATCACCTTTACGCCAATGACTCCCAAATTTACCTTTCCTTCCATCCCTCAGAGTTGCATGAAGCGTTTGCCAAAATTCAAGAAGATTGAATCGGATCAGTGCCTGGGCAAACTTAATTGTATTAAGATTAAACGCTGCAAAAACTCAAGCCTTTGTCATTGGTTCCAAACCCCTTCTCAGAGCCAATACCAACATACCTATCCTGTACCTAAATGACCATCCCATTACCTTCACCTCCTCAGTAAAAAACCTAGGCATTTTCATAGACCAAACCCTCTCCTGGAAACACATCACTAGCGGTTTTTTAATATAATTTAATTTTTTAAAAATTTAATTACTCTTTAGGTTACAAATTGAATTTTTTTAAATAAATAAAATGTTTTATTATATATAACTTGGTATAGTGGTTTAGTACCTGATTCTTATTTATATTAATAATAAAATTTAATACAATCCTGGTGATTATTAGAAAAGAGATAAATAAAAAGTTTAATGATATTCTGATTAATTTTTTCAGAATACTTTAATTCGTGACACTTTGATGCCTGGAGAATGGGATGTGTGTGTCACATCATACGAAATGATAATACGTGAAAAAGGCGTATTTAAGAAATTTAACTGGCGTTACATGGTGATAGATGAAGCTCATAGAATCAAAAATGAAAAATCAAAACTCTCTGAGATAGTAAGAGAGTTCAAGACGACGAACAGATTGCTTTTGACTGGGACTCCATTGCAAAATAATCTCCATGAATTGTGGTCTCTGCTTAACTTTTTGCTCCCAGATGTATTCAATTCATCAGATGTAAGGATTTAAAAAAATTTTTTTTTGTTAGTTATCTACTAAAGATTCTTGTTTTTTTTAATAATATTTTTGTTTTTCAGGACTTTGACAGTTGGTTCAATACAAACAACTTTTTGGGAGATAATTCTTTGGTTGAACGATTACATGCTGTAAGATATTTTAAAACATTATATTTTAATACTCTTAATCCCACTTAGAACTATATAATTTTTTTTTAAAGGTTTTGAGGCCATTTTTGTTGAGGAGATTGAAGTCAGAAGTTGAAAAAAAATTAAAACCTAAGAAAGAAGTAAAGATATATGTTGGGCTCAGCAAAATGCAGAGAGAATGGTAATTGGACGATGTTTTGTTTATTTATTTGTATTCCTTTTTTTAACTATAGTTCCATATATAATGAGGATGAATAAAATGTACGTAGTAATTATTTTTTATACATTTATTGATTAATATTATACACTAATCATATTGTGTTATCTCTTTAGTGGTACAAATGCTTCTGCTACTGATTTGGAAGCTGGTTATTTTTTGTTCATAGACAATTTTAGAACAAATACTCTGCCATTCCTGCATGTGCTCCTCAACTTATACATTACTTTTGATTTTTTTTCCCTTTCCTGTGGCTATGCCATTTTCATCCATAACAGCCTCTACCGAATTGTTTTTGTCAAATTAATTCTTTTAAAGTGTTAAAAAAAAAATATTACAGAAGGACATCTGGACTGTTATTTCTTGGTACAGACCTCTTTTTATCAAATTATTAATATCCATCTGAAACTTTGTAAATAGTTTCATCTCATCGTAACCTACAACTATTTTATGTATAAAAACTCTTGGAATTGGAGCCTTTTCAATCTGGAGGTCGAAAAACTTTCTCTATTTAATTAGGTACTAAAAACTCATGAACACCCATTTGCTTTCAACTTGAATCGTAACCTACAAAAATGGGGCCGTTTGGCATGACCACTACCCCCAACATGTCAAGATAATGAGGCCAAACTATCCAATATTTTTGTAGTCCACATTTTTTTTTTTTTTTTCAATTTTATGATCAAAGTACCTTACGATCTAAGTGGAAAGCAAATGAGTATATACAAATTTTTTGTATCTAATTATATAGACAAAGTTTGCTACCTCCAGATTGAAAATGCCCAAATTCCAAAGGGGTTTTCATAAATATAATAGTTGTAGGCTACAATGAGATGAAGCTATTTATAAAGTTTCAGGGCGAATGTTAATAGTTTGATAAAAATGGGTCTGTGCCTTGGACTATGTGAGGCAGGAGAGTGAACAAGAGTTCCACATCCCATTTCTTCTAATTTATCCCTGGTTGAAATCGTGGTCCGAGAAATGACATTTTCATGAAGAAGTGCATACATAATCTCTTTCTAAGACAAATGGGTAAATATTATCGGGTTCTTACTTCTAATGAGATTTCTTCAGATACGAAATTGTTATCACATTTAGTTGGTTGTCAAATGGCACAAATCTGTACGACACCCTCAAATTTTGATTATAACATTTTTCCTTTCACAATCTATTCTGGAACAGTGTAGATTTCCCGAATCTTAAGCTTTCGAATGGATTACAGAAGTATAAAGATAACGCAGGAGATTACATTGAGAATAACTAAAAGTATGGTTTACATATAACATTAAAATAAGTAAATGTATAAAAAATCCTCAACGTTTAAGTTTAATTTAGCCTCACACAAAGGAATACCTTAGTGCAGTTATGAAATAGTCTTATATTTCTTTAGGTATACCAAAGTATTGATGAAAGATATAGATATCGTTAATGGTGCTGGTCGGATTGAGAAAATGCGCTTACAAAATATTCTTATGCAGCTGAGAAAGTGCAGTAACCACCCTTATCTGTTTGATGGAGCTGAGCCTGGGCCACCTTACACTACTGATGAACATCTGGTACTAAACTAAATTTTAAGTTTAGTTATAACATATATAACTTAATTTTTTTTTATCATATATTAGCTTAAATAAGGTATTTTTAAAGTGAAAACTTCTTTAGGCGCATTTTGCACTTGTTTTGTGGAGAGTGAATTAAATTGAGCCGTCAGACCTCCAATGTGTAATGCTTGGGTAAAGTCGGCTGGAGTTGAATAATTGAAGTGTTTTTGTATATGGGTTCAAATACCTCAAAAACTAAAAATCAGACCTGTATATAAGGGAATATGATCATCATTTCATCTTCTTTGTAATGGGCTATTATTCACAATTGTATTTTAACGCGACACCTTATTAGAGAGTTGAAAAAGAAAAAATAGTATCGAAAACCAGATGATAATGATTTTTATTTAAGATATGGAATAAAAATATCTCAGAAACTAAAAATCAGTCCTGCATACTGTTAGCGAGAGAATTGTTAAGCATTTCATTCTATCTGTAATGGGATATTATTCAAAATTGTATCTTATTGCAACACTGTGTTAGAGAGTCGAAAAGGGAAAAATAGTGTTGAAAACCAAATGATAATGGGTTATATTGAAAATATAGATTAAAATATCTCAGAAATTAGAAATCGGACCTGCATACTGTAACTGAGAGAATTGTTGAGCATTTCATCCTCTTTATAATGAGCTATTATTTATGATTTATATTTCATATTATTAATCTAGCCTTGTTGATGTTTTCACTTCTATCGTGAAGTCTAAGCACACACCTTAGTTATTTTTTAACTCTCTTAAGAAGACAGACTGAATTTTTAATTGAACTTTGAAAATTGTTAAATGACTATTTCATAGTGTTTAATTTGTAATTCTTAATATTTAATATATTTTCTTTATTTCAGGTCTTTAATAGTGGAAAACTGGTTATTTTGGATAAGCTTCTTCCAAAACTACAAGAACAAGGATCTCGAGTTCTTATTTTTAGTCAAATGACCAGGATGATTGATATTCTTGAAGATTACTGTTATTGGCGAGGATACAATGTAATGAACATTTGTTTGTTAAAATGCTATAATAAACAATTTACCATATTTAAGTTGTATTTCTTTTTTAGTATTGTCGTTTGGATGGTAACACACCTCATGAAGACCGCCAAAGGCAAATTAATGAGTATAACGAAGAAGGTAGCAAGAAGTTCATATTCATGCTTTCAACTCGTGCAGGAGGTCTAGGTATTAATTTAGCTACCGCTGATGTTGTAATTCTCTATGATTCAGATTGGAATCCACAAATGGATTTACAAGCTATGGTATGCAATAATAGTTGATGGCTGATGATAATTATTTAAAAATACTATTTTCTTTTATTATTTTTTATCTCTTAAGGATCGTGCTCATCGTATTGGCCAAAAGAAACAGGTCAGAGTTTTCAGGATGATTACAGAAAATACTGTTGAAGAGAAAATCGTAGAAAGAGCTGAAATAAAGCTTCGTCTTGATAAATTAGTTATTCAACAAGGTAAGTGGCATAGACTATTTTTTTTTTGTGTGTGTTTTTATCTCAAGCAAGGAAATTAAAGGCTCTTACATAAATTGTTTCTTTTCCAAAATATTCCAATTCGATTTCTTAAATCTTAGATAAAAAAATGGCTAATTTAGAAGTATGTATCAGAATCCAATTTAGGCATGTCGGACAGTCTTCTCCAGCCAACTAATCAAACCAACTATCCTTCATAAATCTGATGGTATTTAGTTCATTCAGGCACTGGTTGTTTCCAAAAACTATTTTGTAATAATACTAGTTTATTTTTATAATTATTAATAAAATAAATTATTAAAAGCTTTTGTTATTTTTAATAGTTATTCTATATGTTCAATCAGGAAGGCTTGTTGATAATAAAGCAGCTCTGAATAAAGATGAAATGCTTAACATGATCAGACATGGTGCCAATCATGTGTTTGCAAGTAAAGATTCTGAAATCACCGATGAAGATATTGATACTATATTGGAAAAGGGTGAAGCCAAAGTAATTTTTGAATTACTTTATTTTGTTTATAAGTTAGAATATAGATATCATTCCATAATAATTATTTTCTAAACAGACTGAAGAAATGAATAAAAAACTTGAACAGCTTGGAGTTGATTCATCTTTAAAAGATTTCATGATGGAGGCTCCCACTGAATCTGTATATCAGTTTGAAGGTGAAGATTACAGGTGAAATAAGAATATTTATTATTTTACAGATTTATAATTTTAATCAAGTTAATAAATAATAACAATAAATTAAAAAAAAAAAATCTGGTGCGCGCAACACACAACTTTCACTTACCGATCTACTTTGAATAGAAATTATTTTCTGGCAATGCTGGGCTATTATAAAATTTTTCGAAGTGCATTTTAAACGGAGCTAAAGCTTGAAGCTTACAGATAACAAGTCATTAAGGCCTTTATAATTACAAAATGTCTATTTAATATATCGACGACAGGCAATAAAAATCTAGCCACTCCATCTGCTTTTATAAACCACACAACTTTCTTTGCTTTTATAAACCACAGAATGACTAACTCCAATTCCAACATTTTTGAATGATGTCATTTTAGTGATATTTTTAGTTTAAAAAGTTATCTATGCAGACAATGAGTAAGTTGATTCCGGAGGTGGTGATTGCAATGTTGAAATATAGAACTGAGAATAAAGGTACAAATTTAGGTACTTATTTCTTATGAAAGATGTTCTTAGGAAAGATACTTTAATAAATATCTGTAGAAAAAAAGATATTTTTTAGTCTGAAAAATTAAAAAAATAAATTTTAAATTTATCCAAATTTTCGCCTATTCAGGGAAAAAAACTAAACACCATACCTTTCCTCCTAATTGTCAGATTTTAACAATTTTTGTTTGTTTTTTTAGGAAATTTTGTAAACTTTTTTAAAACCATATACAATATCCCAAAAAAAGCGTATACTTTTTGAGTTATTCGGAATTTAATTTTAACATCTCTCATAACTTTTTTCCAACTTATTTTTGTTGAAATATGCTATATAGATAAATTTAAAGGGTATCGAGAAAATGACTTTAGCGAAGTTTCATTGAAATCGGTACATTCGTTTCAGGCTTCAGTCAATAGCAACACAGGTTTTTCTGCATTTTTTTTTCTCCTTTATTAACTTATCAAATTCTTTCAAAAGTTATATTTAGCATTTTTTCGTAACTCTGAATAATGTGAAATGATTAACTTTTTAAAATAAACCATATTAAAGCTACTTTAGAGGAAGACGTATATGAACATTTGGCATTTAAGCCCCGTAAAGTGACATCAATGGGGATAAGACCTAATTGATATTAAAGACCACTTAATTATACAATGATACATTGAGTTTAATCAAAATTGTTAGAGCCGTTTTTGAGAAAATTGTGAAAATATGTTCAGCGTTGATATAAAGTGGCACTTCCGGTTAGCCGATTTTAAGGAAAAAGTTGCTATCACTTCTAAGGCATATACCTATCTTAAATACGTGATATCAGTTTCATAGGACTTTTTGTTTTTGAGCTAGACTGCTAACATACAAACACACAGACACACAGACCATTTTTCGGGACTTGGTCATTTGGACTCAGGGTACCTCAAAACGTGTAAATCCGTTGAAAACTCAGTTTCAAAAATTTTCTCGATCGCAATACTTACACTTACTATATATTACATATATACAATATGTTGGGATGCTATAATTTTAAAATAAGTATTTAATAATAATTAAACTGCCTTTATTAATATTAATAATTTATCTATCCTATACCAATCTCACAACATTTATATCCAGCTTGTGTTTCCTGGATGTTCATTGTCTTAACCTTTGCATTCACTTCCTGCACAAATCAATACTTTCCTCCACCAAATGAAGATTGGAAATTCTCAACCAAATTAAACCAAAAAGAAATATTCTTTCTCTTTTGATCTTAAACTAACATTAAATACCATTCAACAATATTCTTCAAAATTACCAATTTTTCTTGAGTTAAACATGTATTTATTTCAATCTATAATTTTTTTTTTCTTTTAGTATATTATTTTTACTGAATCATTAATTTGTTTACCTAAAATTAAAATTAATATCGATGGTCAACTTAAGTAACAATTTAAATAACCGTTGGAAAATATAGAAAAATCTAGGATGGCATAAATGTTATAAGCTGATCTCTAATACCCAAATAAGTCTACAATGGCATTGATTGGACGTTTCTTAACATTCTTACCTTAGTCATTTCTGAACATATATGAAAAATAATTGTGTAATTTGTCTCTATTTTTTTTTTTAGGTTTGGTATAGTGATTGCATACATTCTTTTTTATTATGATTTACAGCCTTTTAATTTTTTTTTTATATAAGCTAATTGAGGATAGATAGAATGTTTTTTTGTTTTTTTAATTTACATTATACACTTGGTCTAACTAGCTAAGCTCACTGAATAACAATGGCACTGAATGACTTAATTTAAAAAAAAAATTTCATGTAAGTATTTTAAGGTTTTACTAATGATTGTTGAACTTTTATAGAGAAAAGCAAAAAGTTTTTGGAATAGGAAATTGGATTGAACCACCAAAACGAGAACGTAAAGCTAATTATGCAGTGGATGCCTATTTTAGAGAAGCGTTGCGAGTTTCAGAGCCTAAAGCTCCCAAGGTTTGTTTAATGTTTTTGGTTTTAATTTTATAACTGTCTTGTATAATATAATACTTCTAAAATTGTTTTTTTTTGTTTGTTTTTTTACAAACTTCTTATTTTCTTAGGCCCCTAGACCTCCAAAGCAACCTATAGTACAGGATTTCCAATTTTTCCCTCCTCGACTGTTCGAGCTATTAGATCAAGAAATATATTACTTTCGGAAAACTGTCGGCTATAAGGTTTTACATCAAAGTTTTTATTAATATTGGGTTTTATTCAAAATAACTAAAAATTTTAATAATGTTTCTTAAAGGTTCCAAAAAATCCAGAATTGGGATCAGATGCTTCTCGTATCCAAAGGGAAGAGCAAAGAAAAATTGATGAAGCCGAGCCATTGACTGAGGAAGAATTAGCTGAAAAAGAAAACTTACTGACGCAGGTAATCATTTTGACTTTGTGATAAGACTTATATCCATTTAACTCTCCGTTGTCAGAAATTTTCTAAACTTGTAAGGATGTAAATACAGCAAACACTGTCTTTTCTTAAATTATTATTACTAGCGAAGGGCTTTATTTAAGTATCTCCAAATAGATACAACTCAGATAAATATTGTGAAACTTTATTCTTTCTATAATACTAATTAAATAAAATAAAAAAGATTATGTTTTAATTCAATTAAAATATCTTTAAAAGATTATATATTTTAAATTAAATTATTTTTAATAAATGTAAAAAAAAAAAATTAAAATTCATTGTTCATTATTCATTGCAATTTTAAATATCCTTTGGACAACTATTTATTATTAAATTATTTTAATTTTGTTATTAGGTTTCTTAAGGAAGAATAAATTAATAATTTATTTATTTATTTATTCTTCCTCAGGGCTTTACTAATTGGACAAAAAGAGATTTTAACCAGTTCATAAAAGCTAATGAAAAATATGGTCGTGATGATATAGATAATATTTCAAAAGATGTAGAAGGTAAGAGGTCATATTTTTAAATTTAACAACATATTTATAAAATTGTGTGTATATTGTGCGATTTATTTGTTTTACTTTTTACATGAATTTAGGAAAGACACCTGAAGAAGTGCGAGCTTATTCTGAAGTATTTTGGGAAAGATGCAATGAACTCCAAGACATTGATCGTATCATGGGACAGATTGACAGAGGTGAAGCGAAAATTCAGAGAAGAGCCAGCATTAAAAAAGCTTTGGATACCAAGGTTATTTTTAACAAATCTGTTTTTTAAAAAGGTTATACAATTATCTCAGGAAAATAATTATTTTTCATAACAGAGATTGGCAAAATCGGAATCAATGATTACATAATTACAACTGAAAATAAAACTTAGTGACCGCGCCAATTTTATACTTGATACAATTGCACTATAATTATAGCTAAAATGTTGTATAATCATTGATTATGATTATGCCCATTTATGGTTCTTAACCCTTCCAGTGCTAATTTCATCATAATTGCTGTAAAAAGTGTTAAGAGAAAAATCATAAATGAATGAAATCTTACTTCAAATTTTACAGATATAAAAAACAAAATGGGTTCAGAAATACTCCAACTTCTACTACAGAAAAAACAAAAAAAAAACAAAACAAAAAATTGTTGGTTGATAGTTGACTGTAGTGAATAATTGAAGAGAAGGATGGTTTTGGTGATCAGTCAAAATAAAAATAGTAAAAATAAATAATTATATTTATTTTCACATTCGCCGACATTTTTTTCCTCCTTTCCGTCACTCTATTTTCCATATCCCTATCTCTATTTTGTATATATTGATATATTTGCTCATTCATCTTTTTTGACATTATTTTAGCTTTTTATTCTCTTATAATTTTCTATTTATATCTATTATTTCCTTATATAACTTTATATTCCTTTTCTCTGTTTTACATTTTATTTTAAGATTACCATTTTTCATTTCTTATGTAATCTTATTTTCTTTAAGTTTATTTTATTGGTCTGTGTTATTATTCTACCTGCTTTATTTTACTTTAATGTTCACTTTATTTACTTCATTTTGCTTTAATTTTTTTCTACCTGCATTTTTTAGTCTATACCTTTCACTTTTTTTATAATTTTAATTCTTTATTATTCAATGTTTATAGTTTCTTATACCTATTGTTATCTGGTTCTTTCCTTAGCCCTGATGAAGGCCTGAACTTCGGGCCGAAATGTCGATGAATGTGAAAATAAATATAATTATTTATTTTTACTATTTTTATTTTCACTGATCACCCTAACCATCCTCTTAAAAAAAAAATTATTGTTATCTTAAAAATTTATTTCTGTATGAGTACAGTATACAGAAAAAACTTGGTAAAAGATCCTTTTGACTGGCTTTGAAGGCTTCAATTTTATTTTAAGGAATAGAAAGTTATTGAATCATTTCCTCAATTACAAGGTAAAATGACAATTCAAATGATGGTGGAGTAAGATTTCATCTACAAAGTAGTATTCATAAGTGTTGGAATTGGCCACAGTATAGGCTGTGGCTGCTCCAACTGTTTTTTAAATGTTTTCTTCTTAGGATTAACAGGGTTAATAGAAATTTATATAAATTCCTTCAATAGTTATTATTCAATAGCTAGAAAAGTAATTTATCTTTCAGATGAGTCGATATAGAGCACCATTTCATCAACTAAGAATTTCTTATGGAACAAACAAAGGGAAGAATTATACAGAAGAAGAAGACAGATTCCTTGTATGCATGTTACACAAACTAGGCTTTGATAAAGAAAATGTATACGAGGAACTCAGAGCAATGGTTAGGTATTGAACATTTTTCTAATAGATATCTTTTTCTCAGTTATATTATTATTTTTGATTGAGAGGTCTAGCTGGAAAACAATAGGACTCTGTATCTGTTGGATTTTGTCATGATATAGCAACTCACCAATTAGATACATATAATTTTCATTTAGTGGGTGGGGTGGCCGAGCGGGCTAACGCATGTGCACAGCACCGTTCGTTGACCAGCAACCTGATAATCAAATTTAAAGCAATAAAATAATTAGATTTTGTGTGGGACTTTTAACAATGGCATTAATCCCCTGGCCCGCCAAAACTCCCGTATAGACTAAAAGGGAAGTAAAGTAATATAACAACATAAAATAAAATATAAAATTTTTATTTTGTTTTATACCTGATAATAGTCTGTGGTAGAGAACCCTTTCTATCAAATCATTAACATACACCTGATACTTTGTAAATAACTTTATCTCATCATTACCTACAACTATTTTATTTGCGAAAATTCTTGGAATCAGTGCATTTTCAATCTGGAGTTTGCAAACTTTGTCTACTTAATTTTGTACTAAAAACCCATGAATACCCATTTGCTGGTTTATATAAATTACACCACAATTGTAAAGATTCTATTCTGTTACTGCTTTCAGAATAAATATACTAAAACAATTTTTTTTAGTCTGATAAGCACTTCATAAACATTTTTCAGCTCAACAGAGGTGCCACTGCTAGAAAAGTTTGATAACCACTGTCATAGGGATTTGACATATTTTCCAGTCAATCTTAATTTTTCTCATATTTTTTTTTTTTTAAGAACAAAACCTGAATTAAAAATTTGAATATTTTCCCTTCAACTTATTTGGATAAGTTGCACTATACCCCTTAATTAATGTTGTGATTAATTACTAGATATGTACTCATATGCCTGTATCTTATTTTATTATTTCAAGTCATCATATTGTTATTATTGTCCCGAAATTATGAAGCATCTACACTAAAAAAAAATCTATACTAAAAATTTTTAACATTTTATTTCTCTTTTAAATAAATTTTATGTCTTATATACATTAAATTTTCAATGTATTATTAAATAATTATTTATATTAAAAAAGAATATAAGCCTTACTTCCTTATATGTTAAAATTTTTCTTAACAATGTCAGGCAGTAATAAATCTAGAAAAAAAAACACAAAAAATTGGTACCCACCAATTGACTATTGACCTATGAATGCGCCCTAAAATAGATAAAGGTTGGGGACTTTTGTACAAGACCTTTAATTGTTTAAGGCTTGAATTTATAAGTCATGATATCAATATTTCTTTCCTCAGGTGTGCTCCTCAGTTTAGGTTCGATTGGTTCATAAAGTCTCGAACTGCTATGGAATTGCAAAGGCGTTGTAACACTTTGATTACTTTGATCGAAAGAGAAAACCAAGAATTAGAAGAAAGGGAAAAAGCTGAAAAAAGGAAAAGTAGAGGTGGCAGTAGCCGTGGAACCAGTTCTGGTAAACGTAAAAGCGATGGAGGATCCATTTCATCACCACCATTATCTATCCAGGGGGATAAAAGTAGCCCTGCTAGGAAAAAGAAAAAGTATGTTTCAGTCGAGTAAATGTATCGAATAACTCAAGTAAAGTTACCAATTCTCATTTACAGCTGTTAAAAAACTAGTCTCTTTGAGGTGCTTAAGGCTTTAATTATTGTTTTTTTATTTTTAAATGTTTAGTTTATGTTTATAGTTTTCAAGTGCCATTTTGATTGCTATTTACCTTCTCATCTGTTTCTGATAGATATTTGTAATTAATTATTTAATTTGTATGTGTTTTATTATCATTTTGTTTAATAAACATTTTTAATTGTATTTGTATTAATGTCTATAATTATAATTATTTATAATCACTAACTGATGACTGAATTCATTGTATATTATTATTATAATTCAGAAAATGTAATTTATTAAGTTGTTGAAATAATGCTGAGTGCAGTAAAACTGCAACAACCTTGATTAAAGAAAATAACAAGTAATACGTAATCTGAAACAGCCGTAGAAAAATATTTATCTTAAAATCATATTATATTATAGTAAGAAATATAGTTTTTAGATTTTTTAGATAAAATATTAATTGAACTATGCGATCTTGAACTGAATCAATGTAGCTTTAATTTATATTAGGAACATATTAAAGTTATAGAGAATTTTATAGAAACAAAAAGACTGAGTTTATTATTAGAGTGTATAAAAATATAGATGAAGTTATAATGATAGAACCAAAGCAAGACAGTTATTATAATATGTTAACTTTTTTTTTTTAAGTTAGATATTTTTATTTATTCTAAAAGTTATACAAAATTGGAATGTATGAAATGAAATACATTATTTGAAAATATTTTGCTTTCTCACTACTGAAGGTAGGGAAGCTTTGTATTCAGATATTGAAAATTTTTACTTGTGTCATACGTTTTGGACATCAAGGAGTAAATTTGAGTCCATATTTGTTTATAGTAGTAGATAGGGATATTAACTACCACCGTTAATCTGATTTTGATGAAGTTTCATGAATTGCACGGGTTGGTACCTAGATGTTTTATCAAATTCCATTCACCTCTTCCGGAAAGCATTTATATCAAAAATGTCCCGTTCAATTATGCTTAAAGTTGGAGGAAAGTTAGAGATTTGTGAAAAAATTGTCCATTATATCAAATTGCATTCCCGCTTTTCCATTTACGGATTTGCAAATGCATTTTCCCCTCTATGCCTTTATTTCAAAAACGACTCTTTCGATTTGGCCCAAATTCGGAGGGTATTTTGGGAATCGTGTGCAAATGATCTGGTATCAATTTCATTTAACTATTAAACTTAATATGACTATCAATTCAGGTCTGAAAGATCAATCATCGACCAGATATTTTTGTTAAGACAGATTCTTGAAAGAGGATATGAGTTTAACATTGACCACCGTAGTTATTTTTTGATTTTAAGCAGGCATACGACAGTATTGATACAGAGGAACTACTTGAGATATTGTTCAAATTGGGAATTTCCAGGAAGCTCACTTGGCTTGCAAAAATTACTATGTACGATAGCAGGATGAAGATAAAAATACAAGAAATGCTATCAAGAATTTGCAGTACATAGGACCTTGCAGTTGATAGGTAGGGAGACCCATTATCAACTGTCCTTTTCAATTTATCCTTGGAAAAAGCTATTTGGGCAATACGAATAACCCTAATGCTCATAATAGCTAGAAGAATGAGCTTGAAGGAACTTTAGAGGAGTTTGAAAGGAAAGCAGCAGAAGTGGGCGTTTATATTAATGAAGGAATAAAGAAATATTTAAAAACTTTGAGGAATCACCAATTGGATCACCACAATTTGTAGATCTGCGAATGCAATTTTAAAAATACAGGCACTTTTAAGGATCTCGGTTCTGTCATTACAGATGACTGCAAAATGAAAAAAACTAGTGAATGTGAGGTGATCTGTAATAAGTGCCTTTATGTCCTACACAAAACATTAAAGTTTAAAGCTCTCTAACAAAAACATAGCTCCTGATATATGAAACTATCCTGAGAACCACAGTGGCAGTGAATCCTGGGTATTGACAATGAAAGTGAAAGGAGACTCAATGTCTGGGAAAAGGAAAGAACCCCGGAAGATATATGGGCCAATATGAGAAAATGACATTTGGCAGTTACAGCATTGTGAGCTCAGTGCAATGTATGGAAAACCAGACCTTGTATCTTATGTGAAAAAAGCTTTCCTCAAATAGCTCGGACATGTAGAAAAGATGCTAGAAAAATGATACAAAGGAAGACAAAGAATGAGATGGTTGGACGACGTTGAGGAGGATTTATTAGGAGTAAGGAGATGGAGGACTCAAGCAAAAGATAGGAATGACTGGATTGAATTCCTTGAGGATATCCAGTTCCTTGTAGAATCTTAACGCCCAGGAGTAATTAAACTTAATATAATGGCTGTGAATTGAGGTAGGCAACTTATAACAATGGGCGGTTATATAAGTTTTTAGACATAACTTATTTATTAAATGTGTTTTTATTGCATTATTCTATTCTGTTTTAAATAAACTTATAATTTTCATGAAGTTTATAGTTATATGCATATAAAATTGTGAGGAAGCTATAGTGATTTACTTGGCAGATTTTTTCTATCCTTACAAAAAATGTTCCTATCGTGCAAATATCATTTCATACATTCATTTTCAGTTGAAAAACAATTACTTATGATATTAACTTATCAAAAAAACAGGAATATTTAGAAATCAAATTATTATATAACTTACTAAATTTAACAAATTAATTATTGATACTAGTATATGATAAAATTAGATTTAGTAATTAAAGACGTATATTTATGCATGATAAAGACGCAAATAAAATTAATTGGTGCTTTAGACAGTAAGACATACTTAAATAGTAATTGATTTATTTGTATATATATATTAATTATTCTATTTTGTTTATAATTGTTATTTCCACTTGTGTATAATTTGCATGCACAATTTGTGTATAATTGTTATATATATATATATATATATATATATATATATATATATATATATATATATATATTAATTATTCTATTTTTTGTATAATTGTTATTTCCTAGTTTTAGTATTTTGTGGCCTAGGTTTGAAAAGATTATAACTACATTTACTATAATTTTGAGAAACAGAGCTTGAAAGTTACAATGAATTTACTGTATAAATATTTTGTTAGTTACATTAATAATTTTGTTTGTACAATATCTTGAAGCATTGAACTTATATTTTCATTCATTGACTGTATTGTGTGAAATTATATCCCTTAATAATAACATTTTCAATATTGAAATTTCATAGTTAGAAATTTGTCACACATCTAGTTTCTTTATTTTTTAACTGATTGTACTAAAATTCATTTGGGACACAGATAACTTTGTTGTGAGTAATATTTGAGTGAAAACTCAATTTACCCAAATTAGTGAGAACCTTTTAAAACCAAGGCCACAAATTATTTCATCGGTTAAATCTATTTATTTTTTAAAAATATAAAAATATTTATGATCAAATACTGTCACTTTTTCTTATCCTCTCATCTACTCAAGATTCATGGTATAATGTACTTAATAATTAATTAAAAAAAAAAATTCAACTCACCAGACATTTAATTTAATTATATTAATAATTTAAATATTTATCCAAAGTAAAAATAAAATCTCTTTTTTGAAATGCCTTAGATTACTAACAAGGGGAGTCTACAGTCAATGGGTCAACAATATCAAACAAATTTCTTTCGGTGATATTATATCGAAAAATATTCGACACACATTCATTCCGAGAGGATTAAAATGATTCTGAAGTTTATTATTGAAGGTTAGGTATCTAGATTGAGTCAAATCTGAAATACATAGAACCATAGGTGCAGATGTCCATTTCTATTGGGAGGAGAAACAAAAAAAAAAGAAAATAGTGTGAAACAAGCAAATATTGTAGACTTTTTTTATGTGCATATGGATACACTTGAAAATATCTGAACAAAACAATTGGATTTATTACAATTTATATAATGTTCACGTATCAGCTAAAAATGAAAATGAAAAATATTTTCAATTTCTTAGTTTGCACAACCTTAAAATAAAAATACAATGGTTTTGTAAAAGGACTGTAGTCTAATTAGTTATGTAAAAATGTCTATAAAAATATTTATACTTATGTTTATTAAATATATTTTTTATAAATTTATAAGGAAATCACTTGGAAATGGAGATTTACAAATGAGAGGTGAATGAATTGTACAATCCTAGGAAATGTTTCTATATAATCATCCCTGAATATGAATGAAAATTTAAATAATAGGAATATTTAGGTCGTGATAAAATAGTTAAGGACCTACTTATAGACCTTACCCTAGCCAGCTAATCGAATTTTCTTAATCAATTTTAGTTTACATAATTTTGTTCATTCATATATCTTATTTGCTATCAATTTGAACTTTTTTTTTACTTTAATTATTGGAGGGGAGAGTGCGAAAATATATTCTCGTCCACTCAACATTTTTATTAGGGTAGGCGATCAACTCCTTTTTCCTCTACCTAGTCTGAGCCTATGTATGGAACATACATCGTTTATAGATGATTTTATTAGTAACAAAGCAAGGAGCATTAAGTATTTTACTAAGGATTTTGGATTGTAAGGATTCGATAGGAGAGGAATTCCATGGTTTAGTGTAGTCCCATAGCTCAATTCTGTAAGTTCAAATAGATCTTATTATAATTATGTATATGAGTTTTTTAAAAATTAATTGGAAGCTTAGAGCATTTGTCTAGTAAGTGCTGAAGTAGTCAGAAACATCAAACGGTTTGTTTTCATTTAAGTCTGAAATGTGGATTCAATGTTAGACGTTTGTTCAGGTGGAGCCCTATGCACAGGCGGATCTACTGGGGGGGCTTTTGGGCTGAAGCCCTCTTCCCCTCCCCCCAAAATGATAAATATAACCATGTTTTACAGAAAACAATATTAAAAACTATCTGTTAAAGTATTCTTGTTCGTTTAATAACATTTATTAGGACTTCAAGGACCACTTAAACATCATTTCATATAGGTAGTTAATTTCT